GTCCGATCTTCTGATGGTATCGGGAACCTTCTAGAGCCTTTCAGAGCTGTGTTGTGAGCACTTTACTGCCACAAAACTTCGGACCTTCGACTGTCGACAGACCAGCATAGATATAATCCACCCTAAAATCCGTTCTGAATAGCGACAATTTCTTCGGACATTGCATGAGGATACCGTTAGCATTTTTGGAGGGATGTTGTGATATGAAGGTAGTATGAATAGTTTCGTAGTGAAGTTAAAATTTAGAAGAAAACAGAAAGTGTAAGATATGCTTTAAAAAAGATTTAAAAAAGGACTTTTAAAGTTTTGGGTTATTACAATATAGTAATAGTATTGTTAGTTGTGATGATTAGAAATTTGATAATTGAGGCAACTTTTATCGGATCCTCAAATATTGGTAGTTTTTATTGTGTGAGATCCTGGAGAGGTTTCGCTTTTATCAGTCGATGATATGAGGATATGTTTCCAGGATTATATTGCGGTCGTAGAGACTATGTAGGACAAGTGAAACAGTTGTTCTGAGCGTGCTGGTCAATGGCTTTCTTTTCTCTGGGAGTGTTTCGAAAATCCAGCGTTCAAAATCTTTTTTAAGAGATAATGCTTTTTTATGTGCCACGGATTTCAAACATTCTTGAGTAAGAGTAGCTGAAAGTTTGACCTTAGCTCATGCAATAAATGCCGCCGAGGTTTTAAAGATAAACATAAAAACTCGGCCACTAATTTTACTACTTTTAATATCTGTATGTGATTTGCTGAGCAGGGAATATTGAAAAGAACATTTAACTTCCTGTATGTTGTGAAAAAGGCCTTTTCTAAATAAAAGTAAGAGTATATAAGTGTAGCAATTGATTCATTGTGTCGTGTGTTTAGATTTTTGGGAGGATCTTCAGGACTTTCAGCTTTATCTCGTTCACACACTGAAAGATAATTATATTCAAATTAATGATCCAATTGGGAGTGAAAGAAACAAGTCCCACGGGATCTACTGGAAAATTACTGGGCGAGTAATAATAGCCTGGGGTCCCCAGCGTAACTGGAAATTTGCATTTGAAACCACCAAATAACACAACAAGATGTTATGATAATGCTGAAACATTACCAATGGGTGCATCGATTTACCGCGGAGATTGGAAAAGGAAAAAAGCGACGCAGTAAATCGGGATTTTTGGATTTAGACGAGCTGAACAGTGAAAACATCCTGATCTTTTGAACATCTAAATTTGCCTGAAATCTCAATGATGACTAGCTGGAGGTCACATTACAGGCGTTTTAATCAAACAATTCAGCGCTAGTTAGAGCTAGTGGGTTATATCAATTTAAGCATAAGACTGGGATTCTGGAGACGAGTCATTTTTGGGCCTACAAATGATTTTCATAGTTTTAGTCGAGCTGAACATCCTGCACCCTTTGAAATTTGAACAGAAATTCAATATCCGCCCAATATTCTTTGCTAAATATTTTGGTCTTGTGTAAAGCAATTAACTTTATTTGTTTGAATTTTTTTCCCTATCTCTTGCGAAGGCAAAAAGATCGTAGGAAAAGAAGTAATCGAGTTATGAATATGAGGTGGCCCGGACGGTCCTAGTCTACGGTGATGGACAAAAGTCTGCTCCTTCGCAATTAGACCATCGATCCCCTATCATTATGTGTATTGGAAGCCGGAAGCTAAGCGTCTGTTATGCTGCGCGCGACGTAGCCATGTGTTAATTAATTACAGTGAAGTTCCTCTTCGCAAGTTATTTCGCAATTTTCTGGATTTTATTTATTGTTGATCGGCGCGGCGCTACATTGGTCAAATACAATCGTCTATTTTTACCATGCGCGAATCCCACTCATTTTACATTTATTAAAAACATAGTAGTTGAATATGCTGCACTTTTTTCCAGTCACACTTTTATCGAAAAGAATTAATGATACAAAATTCAAGTACATCGTATGGAGGGAAATTGATTCGTGGTGGTTTTAACAGCGGCGAAATTTCTTGTAAATAAAAATTTGCTATTCTTACTATATTAAAGCGAGACGATATATATGAACGTGTTTTATCGTACCATGCGGCCATTTTTTTTTTTTAACCCCTTTGGCACCATGGCATCAACTTTAACGCGAACTTTCTGCAAAAACCGTAAAAAGATATCCAATTGAAACTTTTTTGATGGGTAAAAGCTTTCTTTAATGGACTCCAAAATCAGTATGAACAAGAAATTTGCGCCGTTGTTTTGTTTTGGCGGAACGCTAGATTTCCATTTCACATTTACTATAAATTTAAGTATAAGCTCCAATCCAGCCTAACTTCAATCTTTCATGATAATAATATTGATAAATTATGCATCTAATAAACGGGTGGAAAACATTGAAAATTCAGTTCATTGCCGTAGAACTTAACTTGTATCTGTAATTCAAAAATTAGCTTCAAAGGTAACACATACTCGGTACTCATCAATACACTTGGCGTGCACGTTACAAATTGGGGCGTATTACCTAATAGTAATATTATTGCATTACAAGCATCATATAAATTAAAAACCAGTCGCGCCGCGCATTCATAGATCACAGGTATCTATAGCACATCTCGCAAGCAATCCTCGCGCGCGGCAATTTTTGTTGCATGGTAACGGGACGGAATGACATAATATTCAGATCCGCCTACTGCTATCTCCAAAATCCACGCTTTTCTGCAAAAAACCTCCATTCGTAACCTTCACTCTTGCCTTTTTTCAAAAGGGTGAAAAGGAAAAAATTGAAAATTGGCCAAGCAATAGGAGTTTTAGAGCCCACAATTTTGACCATCAAGTGGTGTCAAAAACGCAAATTAAATAGGTAAAAGTTATTTTAGTCTTTTGAGTCTTTTGGTTATACGGGTTCCTGCTAGTTCTATTAAATTTAAACCAAAAGAAAAATTCACTATGAAAATTACGTCGAAATCACTCATTCTTAAATACCTAGAATTTAGTAAAAGCAGATTGGTCAATCGCTGTCACTTGAAGTTAACCTTGTAAGGAACCACTTTATTATTCAATAAACCCATCGTGTTTATAGTCTAGTAGTAAAATAGAATAGTCCATTAACCATCTATCAAAAAGAACATTCTCAATCAAACAGTTTGGATATCTACAGAATTGCTACTCTCTGACACAGCAAAGGACACTATTCATACTGTAAAGCTGTCATGTGTAATATTCAGACAAGCTTCACGACAAGCCACGTGACCAACAGCCACGTGATCACCAGCCACATGATCACCAACCACGTGACCAACAAGCCACGTGACCAGCAGCCACGTGACCAGCAATCCTCATGACCAGCAAGCCACATGATCCAGCCACGTGACCAAAAAGCCACGTGACCAGCAGCCACGTGACCAGCAAGCCACGTGACCAACAGCCACCTGATCACCAGCCACATGATCACCAGCCACGTGACCAACAAGCCACGTGACCAGCAGCCACGTGACCAGCAATCCTCATGACCAGCAATCCTCATGATCCAGCCACGTGACCAAAAAGTCACGTGACCAAAAAGCCACGTGACCAAAAAGCCACGTGACCAGCAGGACGTGGACCGCAAGCCACGTGACCAGCAGGCCACGTGATCACCAGACCAGTGACCAGAAGCCACTTGATCACAGCACGTGACCAACAAGCCACATGTTCACATCACGTGACCAGCAAGCCACATGATCACCAGGCACTGTGACCAAAAGCCACGTGACAACAAGCATGTGACAGCAGCAAGTGACCAGCAGCAAGTTGACTGCAAGCACATGACAGCAAAGACATGAGCACAGCCAGTGACCAGCAGCAAACGTGACAGCAAGCCACATGACCAGCATCCACGTGACCAGCAGCCACGTGACAGCTAGCCACGTGCCGCAGCCCACATGACCAGCAGCCCACGTGCAGCAGCCACATGACCAGCAGCCACCGTGACCAGAGGCACGTGACCAGCAGCCACGTGATCACAGCCACGTGACAGCAAGCCACATGATCACCAAGCCACGTGACAACAAGCCACATGATACAAGCCACTTATTCACCAGCCCAGGTGACGCAGCCACATGACCAGGGCCAGCCACGTGACGCAAGCCACATGACCAGCCAGCCACGTGATCACCAGCCACGTGACCAGCAAGCCACGTGACCAGCAAGCCATGACAGCCACGTGACCAGCAGCCACGTGATCACAAGCCACGTGGCCAGCAAGCCACATGATCACCAGCCACGTGACCAGCAAGCCACATGACCAGCAAGCCACGTGACCAGCAGCCACGTGAACAGCAAGCCACGTGACCAGCAAGCCACGTGACCAGCAAGCCACGTGACCAGCAAGCCACGTGACCAGCAAGCCACATGATCACAAGCCACATGACCAGCAGCCACGTGACCAGCAAGCCACATGATCACAATCCACATGACCAGCAAGCCACGTGACCAGCAGCCACGTGAACAGCAAGCCACGTGACCAGCAAGCCACGTGACCAGCAAGCCACATGATCACAAGCCACATGACCAGCAAGCCACGTGATCACCAGCCACATGACCAGCAAGCCACGCGACCAGCAGCCACGTGACCAGCAGCCACATGACTAGCTTGCGAAAGAGGATAATGGTGTTAGTTTGATGATCTGCACAAAGCTCTAATAGCCTGGCAAGCAGACCCCCTCGGAGGATGCCTCTCGTCCTCCGATCGGTCCTATGAAAACACTCGTGTCATGTTCTAATCTTGAGCAGTTTTTTTAGCAACGTGGCTGTACTGTCTTGGTTCTTTTGTTATTGTCGAGAAATGATGTCATGAGCATATGTCGAGCTTGTTTTAATTTGTTGTACGTTTTTTATTTTTTACATGATTTTGTTTATGCTCCTACTATTATATGATAGGTTTTCATTGTTTGTTTGATAGATTTGTTTACAATTACCAGTTATTTTTAGTGGTTAACAAATTCTCTTTCAACATCAGATACTTGTGCGATGTGTCCGGTTGTTACCCTATATTCTCATATCCTTTCCAACACACTATTGCAACATATAAATCTCACCACTTAACGTACAATAAAAGCGCAGTTTCCACGTGCGGAAGTGTCGGGCAATGTCGGGGAGAAGGCAGCTGAACACAGCCCAGATCAGTCAGGTGATAGACGAGACTATCTGGAAGGAGAAGATTGCGCACGAGAAGAAGGCTAGGGAGTATTGGGATAATATCTACCGGTCTGATATTATGAAGGAGCACGCCCTACCGGTTAGATTAAGTATTCATACTTGTACGCCTTATAAAGTTATAATGATTAAGTTATAACGCTCTTATCAAGTTATCATATTTTTATCGCGATTTTGTACTGTCTCTTGAATTAATCTAACAAATCAAATTTAATTCTAACAAAGCCTATAATGGTACATTGTACAGACATCAAATGCTTTTCAATAATCAATCGCAGTAGATTTAAAGACTTACAAAATCGATGATAAAATGGATAATATCAATTAATAAGCTGAGCATAAACTCTCCTGAAAACGCTGCCCACAGCATGTACACACACCTAGAGACGATAAAGTGTTGCAACCTATATCCTACTTCGACACGAAGTGAAAGTGACACCTTCACTTTCAGGTACACACACCTAGAGACGGTAAAGTGTTGCAACCGATATCCTACTTCGACACGAAGGTGCGGCTGATCACCAGCAGGGAAATAGGCTCCAGACAGCAGACCCCTCAGATATACCGCCTCCAGAGTAGTCATGGTAACAGGCTACTTAAGTCTGACCTGCTCTGCTCTGATTAGTTACAGAGTAGTCATGGTAACAGGCTACTTAAGTCTGACCTGCTCTGCTCTGATTAATTACGGGCTTGCTGTTCTGGATACTGTCGGGGAGGAAACTGGAAACGTGGTTTTGGATTTCGATTGTTATATTATGTTGTGTAACCATGGGTAACCACATGGCGGTAACCAGGTAACCAGATTGGGAGTTGTTATGTGTATCACCTACCTATACTTGTTCTTATTTATTATGGGATATTTGACCAAAACCCATAATCATGGGTAGAGTGGACCGCATTTGCGGACGGTCATTCAAATTAATATCATTTCCTTTTGTTTTGGAAAGAGAGACACTAGCAGCGGTCCACTCTACCCATGATTATGGGTTTTGGTCAAATATCATCTCTTTTTGATTATAATGTCTGGGTCCTTTACACCTACATATACCTACTTGTTCTTATTTATAAATTATAATGGGATATTGGACTCTACAATCTACATGCACTAACAGGAGACAAGTAAACAATCTATTGACTTTTGTCAAATCAGATTTTCCACGAATTTTCAATATTGATTTATAACGAATGATTATAAATAATGACAGCTCAGCAATGAACACATTTTATCTAATTTGCGATTACGATATATAGCGAATAACTACTTTTAAGGATTAAGTCTGTTTTAAACAAGCAAATAATTTACATCATTAATTCGTTTGTTTTAACCTCAAATTTTCTGTAAAATATTTTAACTGTCACGATGCCAAAATTTGATATTTCAATCTTTCTCGAATATAACGTTTTTAGCTGTTCAATGTTCTCCATGAACGATTAAAACAATCATCGTGATCAAAAATCCACTAACAGCTGAAACATTTCTGCAATAACCACTGTCTGCAGGGGTATTTCCAACTTCGCTTTCATTTGTACTATCAATCTCACCTTTCCCCTCACCTTCACTTTCACTTTCACTTTCACTTTCACTTTCACTTTCACTTTCACTTTCACTTTCACTTTCACTTTCACCATCGCTACCAATATCTTCGTCCAACTGAGATTCAGCTTCGGTTGACTCATTTGTATTGTCCAAATCTTCTGATTTTTCAAATGCTGGTGAGTCTGGACTGGACGGATCTTTTTCGCTCTGAGGCTCAGTTTCATTTTCACTTCCAACCTCTTTTCCATCAACCTCGTCCTCATCTTGCTGCGAACTACCTTCCTCTACATCCATAGTGTGATTCCCAGTTTTTCCGCTGTCGTTAATTTCAGTTTGACTAGAATTTTTATTGTTATCACTTTCAGTTTCCACACCTTCAACGTTCCCGCCATCCTGTCCTTGGTCAATTTCTACAGTTACTGGTTTAGCAGTAACTTCATCAGTCTTTTCCATCACACCGTCATTTTGACTAGAATTCTCATTGTTATCACTTTCAGTCTCATCATTTTGACTTCCGCCGTTTTCAGCTCCACTACCGTTCTCGTCAGTGTCAGAAGTGGGTGGTTTAGCCGTAGCTGCAGTCTTGTTACTAGGGTAACTGTTACTAGGTTCTTGGGTTGGTGCTACTGGGGGTATAGGTTCTGAAAAATTGTTGATAAATTCTTAAAGTATGATTAAAATGAGTATCAACATATCAATAACATCACTTACTAGAGTAATCATCGTAACAGAACCTACAATATTTTGTCCCTATATCAGCCTGAGTCTAACAATAATTGGGACAACAAAAAGCAGTGGCTAACGGACAACTAAGAACCTGTCAATTTTAACTAATTAACATGCTAGCTTGGGAAATGATACGTCACTGATTGGGCCATGTGATGTGATACCTGTGGGAGCCCGGAATGATCAGAGGTTCTTAGTTGTCGGTCACTGGTCGGGGTCGTCTTCCCAAAATCAGCTACTTAAAATGTATCAGTATGTTTAGGGAGCATTGGGGGAAGGACAACTCGTACAGGCTGGTTATTCGTAACATAATACTAGTGTACCGCTGGTATTGTACTACATGAGTCATGTTACCATGACAACTGTCTTGTCTGTACTACTAGCAGATCAGGTGAGCTGGGTTTAATGGGTATCTATTTGTGGATTATAGTTCACACTAACCATCAGTAGGAGCTGGGTTTAATGGGTATATATTTGTGGTTTATACTTCACACTAACCATTAGTAGGAGCTGGGTTTAATGGGTATCTATTTGTGGTTTATACTTCACACTAACCATCAGGTGAGCTGGGTTTAATGGGTATATATTTGTGGTTTATACTTCACACTAACCATCAGTAGGAGCTGGGTTTAATGGGTATCTATTTGTGGTTTATACTTCACACTAACCATCAGTAGGAGCTGGGTTTAATGGGTATCTATTTGTGGTTTATACTTCACACTAACCATCAGTAGGAGCTGGGTTTAATGGGTATCTATTTGTGGTTTATACTTCATACTAACCATCAGTAGGAGCTGGGTTTAATGGGTATCTATTTGTGGTTTATACTTCACACTAACCATCAGTAGGAGCTGGGTTTAATGGGTATATATTTGTGGTTTATACTTCACACTAACCATTAGTAGGAGCTGGGTTTAATGGGTATATATTTGTGGATTATACTTCATACTAACCATCAGTAGGAGCTGGGTTTAATGGGAATCTATTTGTGGTTTATACTTCATACTAACCATCAGTAGGAGCTGGGTTTAATGGGTATCTATTTGTGGTTTATACTTCATACTAACCATCAGTAGGAGCTGGGTTTAATGGGTATTTATTTGTGGATTATACTTCACACTAACCATCAGTAGGAGCTGGGTTTAATGGGTATCTATTTGTGGTTTATACTTCACACTAACCATCAGTAGGAGCTGGGTTTAATGGGTATCTATTTGTGGTTTATAGTTCACACTAACCATTAGTAGGAGCTGGGTTTAATGGGTATTTATTTGTGGTTTATACTTCATACTAACCATCAGTAGGAGCTGGGTTTAATGGGTATTTATTTGTGGTTTATACTTCATACTAACCATTAGTAGGAGCTGGGTTTAATGGGTATATATTTGTGGTTTATACTTCACACTAACCATTAGTAGGAGCTGGGTTTAATGGGTATCTATTTGTGGTTTATACTTCATACTAACCATCAGTAGGAGCTGGGTTTAATGGGTATATATTTGTGGTTTATAGTTCACACTAACCATTAGTAGGAGCTGGGTTTAATGGGTATATATTTGTGGTTTATAGTTCACACTAACCATTAGTAGGAGCTGGGTTTAATGGATATCTATTTGTGGTTTATACTTCATACTAACCATCAGTAGGAGCTGGGTTTAATGGGTATCTATTTGTGGTTTATACTTCATACTAACCATCAGTAGGAGCTGGGTTTAATGGGTATATATTTGTGGTTTATAGTTCATACTAACCATTAGTAGGAGCTGGGTTTAAAGGGTATCTATTTGTGGTTTATAGTTCACACTAACCATTAGTAGGAGCTGGGTTTAATGGGTATATATTTGTGGTTTATACTTCATACTAACCATTAGTAGGAGCTGGGTTTAATGGGTATCTATTTGTGGTTTATAGTTCATACTAACCATTAGTAGGAGCTGGGTTTAATGGGTATATATTTGTGGTTTATAGTTCATACTAACCATTAGTAGGAGCTGGGTTTAATGGGTATCTATTTGTGGTTTATAGTTCATACTAACCATTAGTAGGAGCTGGGTTTAAAGGGTATCTATTTGTGGTTTATACTTCATACTAACCATCAGTAGGAGCTGGGTTTAATGGGTATCTATTTGTGGTTTATACTTCATACTAACCATCAGTAGGAGCTGGGTTTAATGGGTATTTATTTGTGGTTTATACTTCACACTAACCATCAGTAGGAGCTGGGTTTAATGGGTATATATTTGTGGTTTATAGTTCACACTAACCATTAGTAGGAGCTGGGTTTAATGGGTATATATTTGTGGTTTATAGTTCACACTAACCATCAGTAGGAGCTGGGTTTAATGGGTATATATTTGTGGTTTATACTTCACACTAACCATCAGTAGGAGCTGGGTTTAATGGGTATATATTTGTGGTTTATAGTTCACACTAACCATCAGTAGGAGCTGGGTTTAATGGGTATATATTTGTGGTTTATACTTCACACTAACCATCAGTAGGAGCTGGGTTTAATGGGTATCTATTTGTGGTTTATACTTCACACTAACCATCAGTAGGAGCTGGGTTTAATGGGTATATATTTGTGGTTTATACTTCATACTAACCATCAGTAGGAGCTGGGTTTAATGGGTATATATTTGTGGTTTATAGTTCACACTAACCATCAGTAGGAGCTGGGTTTAATGGGTATATATTTGTGGTTTATAGTTCACACTAACCATCAGTAGGAGTTGGGTTTAATGGGTATATATTTGTGGTTTATACTTCACACTAACCATCAGTAGGAGCTGGGTTTAATGGGTATCTATTTGTGGTTTATACTTCACACTAACCATCAGTAGGAGCTGGGTTTAATGGGTATCTATTTGTGGTTTATACTTCACACTAACCATCAGTAGGAGCTGGGTTTAATGGGTATATATTTGTGGTTTATAGTTCACACTAACCATCAGTAGGAGCTGGGTTTAATGGGTATATATTTGTGGTTTATACTTCACACTAACCATCAGTAGGAGCTGGGTTTAATGGGTATCTATTTGTGGTTTATACTTCACACTAACCATCAGTAGGAGCTGGGTTTAATGGGTATCTATTTGTGGTTTATACTTCACACTAACCATCAGTAGGAGCTGGGTTTAATGGGTATATATTTGTGGTTTATACTTCATACTAACCATCAGTAGGAGCTGGGTTTAATGGGTATATATTTGTGGTTTATACTTCACACTAACCATCAGTAGGAGCTGGGTTTAATGGGTATCTATTTGTGGTTTATACTTCACACTAACCATCAGTAGGAGCTGGGTTTAATGGGTATATATTTGTGGTTTATACTTCATACTAACCATCAGTAGGAGCTGGGTTTAATGGGTATATATTTGTGGTTTATACTTCACACTAACCATCAGTAGGAGCTGGGTTTAATGGGTATATATTTGTGGTTTATACTTCATACTAACCATCAGTAGGAGCTGGGTTTAATGGGTATCTATTTGTGGTTTATACTTCACACTAACCATCAGTAGGAGCTGGGTTTAATGGGTATCTATTTGTGGTTTATACTTCACACTAACCATCAGTAGGAGCTGGGTTTAATGGGTATATATTTGTGGTTTATACTTCATACTAACCATCAGTAGGAGCTGGGTTTAATGGGTATCTATTTGTGGTTTATACTTCACACTAACCATCAGTAGGAGCTGGGTTTAATGGGTATATATTTGTGGTTTATACTTCACACTAACCATCAGGTGAGCTGGGTGTCATGGGTTTATATTTGTGGTTTATACTTCATACTAACCATCAGTAGGAGCTGGGTTTAATGGGTATATATTTGTGGTTTATACTTCACACTAACCATTAGTAGGAGCTGGGTTTAATGGGTATATAGTTGTGGTTTATACTTCACACTAACCATCAGGTGAGCTGGGTTTAATGGGTTTATATTTGTGGTTTATACTTCACACTAACCATTAGTAGGAGCTGGGTTTAATGGGTATATAGTTGTGGTTTATACTTCACACTAACCATCAGGTGAGCTGGGTTTAATGGGTATATATTTGTGGTTTATACTTCACACTAACCATTAGTAGGAGCTGGGTTTAATGGGTATATATTTGTGGTTTATACTTCACACTAACCATCAGTAGGAGCTGGGTTTAATGGGTATATATTTGTGGTTTATACTTCACACTAACCATCAGTAGGAGCTGGGTTTAATGGGTATCTATTTGTGGTTTATAGTTCACACTAACCATCAGTAGGAGCTGGGTTTAATGGGTATATATTTGTGGTTTATACTTCACACTAACCATCAGGTGAGCTGGGTTTAATGGGTATATATTTGTGGTTTATACTTCACACTAACCATCAGGTGAGCTGGGTTTAATGGGTATATATTTGTGGTTTATACTTCACACTAACCATCAGTAGGAGCTGGGTTTAATGGGTATATATTTGTGGTTTATACTTCACACTAACCATCAGTAGGAGCTGGGTTTAATGGGTATCTATTTGTGGTTTATACTTCACACTAACCATCAGTAGGAGCTGGGTTTAATGGGTATATATTTGTGGTTTATACTTCACACTAACCATCAGTAGGAGCTGGGTTTAATGGGTATCTATTTGTGGTTTATACTTCACACTAACCATCAGTAGGAGCTGGGTTTAATGGGTATCTATTTGTGGTTTATACTTCACACTAACCATCAGTAGGAGCTGGGTTTAATGGGTATCTATTTGTGGTTTATACTTCACACTAACCATTAGTAGGAGCTGGGTTTAATGGGTATATATTTGTGGTTTATACTTCACACTAACCATCAGGTGAGCTGGGTTTAATGGGTATATATTTGTGGTTTATACTTCACACTAACCATCAGTAGGAGCTGGGTTTAATGGGTATCTATTT